GGCTGACCGGAGGAACCACTGTGAAAATTGTCAAAGAAACAATTCAACATGAAGAATATGTTTACTGGTGTAATTTAGCATGTTGATTGTGAATACCGGATTTATTTTTGATGAAATTCAACTCTTTGTAATCAAAATCTGGAAACATTGCCTTTTTTTCGCCATTTTTATATGGAAATTGTTCTTTTATAAACTTTTCATCTTTTTTTTTGTTTGCTAATACCAAAAATAGCGAAGCTCTGGTTTAGTAATCTTATACGATCATATCATCAACAGCAAAAAGAAAGAACTCGAAAAAGATAATATGAAACAGTCAAGAAAGCATAATCCATCAAAAACGCACCAGAATCTTCAAATATATCTTATGAATGACAGAAAAAAGATGAGTTTTGATTGATGATGATGATTGGTTTTTCGCATGCCCCAAAATTGTTAAATATATTAGACGACAGAATTTTATTACATCTATTACTGGTGAAAATATTAAAGTATTCTATCTTTGCTACATAAAGCACGCTTTATTGACAACTTTACTAACCAAATGTTAAAAGAGTAAAATAGAACTTTGTTCGGTCTATCATCATATATGGTATCTTTAGTTAAAGAAAATTTTCTACATAGTAATCAGGGATGCCACCTCTTCCGCTTTTTGCGGAACGTTTCTGCTTTTTCACCTTTTTTCTGCTATTTCTCCACTGTTACGCTTTTTTATATAAAAAGGTGATGTATTTTCAAAACATGTTCGGAGCAAAAATTATTATTGTCAAATAAAGTCTTACTGTTTGTACATTCAATTAATCATCATTCTTATTATGTCATCCATTAAATCAATGAACGAACACATAAAGTTTTTGTATGTTAAAGGATTTGCGCACTAATTGTCTGTTCGGGAATTAAAAGCATCATTCTGCTCTCAACTGATAGTTAACTCCTTTTCAAATTATTTTGCCTTCTGTATGTACCCAAAAAAATTTTTCAATCCGAAAATTTAAACGTTTTTTATGATCTAAAGATATTGAGATTGCAAATAATAAAACAGATCGTAAACATTTAATAACAACATCAACAAATTCTGAAATCAAATGAAAATAAAAATATTGAAGCCATACTAGGTGCCTATCAAAAGATAAAGAAAGGCATGTTTTATTCACAATGACTACTTAATCCTCAGTTTGCATCATTTTTACAACAGTATAAACCAGATTCAGCTAAAGTTCTTTGTATTGCCTCTAACGAACATTTTTCAGTATGTGATGGTGGAAAAAATGATATTGATCGTCACATAAAGTTGAAAAGACATAACAACAACATAAAATCATTTGGTATAGATCGACAATTGATAACATCAACTATGAAATCTAACAAGAAGGTTGAAGAAACAGCAGCTGCAGAAGGTACGTTTGTATACCGTGGAGTGAAGCATAGTCATTCTTATTCATTTCAACAATATTTTGTGTTTTGCAATTTTGTTAAAATAAAAACAGAATGTTATAGATACGAAAAAGTTGAAAATCCTCATAAATGCTAAAAATCCGCAACGAGATAAGTTTCCGCTTTTTCTGTTTTTTGTTTCTGCAATTTTCCGCTTTTCTAAGTCAACTTTCCACTTTTGCGACTTCAGAAGGTGGCATTTCTGATAGTAATAAAACTCATTCTTTCAAAGAAAATCAGAAAATATATGATCATTAAAAATTTCATCAGTATTATCCAAAAAAATGATCTTGGAAAAAATGATCGGATTGAACTGACAATTTCAGAGTTTACTAAACTCTTTAGTATTCACAACGTTTCAAAAAACAATGAAGAAACTAAGATATTGGTTCATCATCGATGAACTAAAGTGCTTGATTTTTTCAGAATACTCAAAAAAAGGTTTTCTAGCAAAAAGAGAAATTTTTTCTTTTGTTTGGTTTGTTTGCAATTAATAAAGGGTGAATCAGAAGTCCAGGAGCGTAGCCAGAGGGGATATGCACAGGGTGCCATGGCACTCCCCTTGATCAAAAAACGTCTGGTAGGGAGTACAGGTAAAATATGTTTTTTGAGAAATAAAAATTTATTTTGTTGCTGGTGTGCACATCCAATAATGAGTCGGCACCTCCCTTGAAAAATTTCTGGCTACGCCACTGCAGCAGTTCTGACTCTTTTTATATAATAAATATTTCCATACTAATGAATTATCTCACAGAAGTGCTTTAATTGAGAATAAGGATAGTAAAACGAACTCTTGAAAAGGTCTATAAAATGACCCTCTAGATCATTTAAGTAAAAACAAAAAGTTATTAATCTAGAAACATCTGTCATATTTCTAAGTAAATCAATCGTTAAAATATCAATCATTAAAAACAACATGGTTAACTAACTGTAACTTAAACAGTCAGTTCGCATTTCTAAACCATATGGGAATTGTTTCATGGTGAATAGGATATTTAATGCATTAATCTCATATAATTATTGACATGCATTATTTCTGTTTTTGAAAAGGCAAGAATGTCATATGAATAATAAAGTTTACAGTTGAAAAATCACTTTTATTTTGACTTCAACTTTTTAAAAATGTATTCATTTTTCGACTACTATCGTAAGAGCCGTTCTATTTTGAGAATTGTTTAGTATGCCACATCTTAATCAATCTTTCATTAATTTTCTTTTTAATATTTGATTTATTTCCTATGTAAATGATTCTCGATGTAAAAGAGAATAATTTTCATAAGTGTGTAATTCATCGAGATTATTTGTTATTTCCTAAGTTGAGTTCTATTTGTTCAAATACAGAATAGATGCACGACAACAATTGCATCTACTTAACATATTGAATATTCTATTCATAATAAAACAATTTCAACGTAGTGATTGTTTGAGTAACAGTTAGTTAAGTATTTCATTTTTAATGATAAACAATTTTAAGAATTAATTTAGTTATTAATATGATAAATATTTCTAAACTAATAAATTTCTTACTAAATCAGTTAAAAAGATCATTTTATAATCATATCGAAGAGTATGGTTTAATAGTACTTTTTTTTCCTCTATCAAAAAAACAGTTCTACTAGAAGATTTATTAGTATGAAAATATCTATTAAGTACAACAAATTAGGAATTTTGGTTCACACTTTGGGTCATAAAATAATTCTGTATCTGATATATTTAAATATACATTTCAACAAAAGAAATCTTTTGATTTTCATCTTTATCATGTAAACAATTTTTTGAATTTTTGAAAATAATTGTTTTTAGAAAATTCAATGGCATTATTTCATTCAATCGATTCTTTGAAATGTTTGAAGTGTTATTAAGATCCATTTTTTCTTGAAGAGATGTAGAAAAACAAGTGATAAATTTTCTTTTTCATCTATTGAAATCAACAAAATGGGAATAAGTTTCATAGCCCATTATTATTATTAATAAATATTGACTTTTTTTTTTACAGCAAAACTATAGCCTTATTCTACTTCAATAGTAGAGTACTGTGATTACAATAAACTTCTTTGTGTTGAATATTAAATACTTCATGAAAAAAAAACAAACAAACCATTTCTTACAATGTTTTCTTATAATTATTCGAAAAACATCTCAAAATGTATTGTACCTTTATTTATATTTCTTCATTTGATCATTAACTAAGTGTTTTTTCTTACTGACGCCATTGTAAATTGATCAGAACGAATTAAAATGAGCAATTTTTTTTATATTTCTTTTCCTAAATTAGTCAAATCAACTTGTCGATTAGTCATATTTACTTCTGAATCACTATATGACGAGAAAATTGAACCTATCTCTTCAGCTTATTCGAAAGAACTCGACAAATATGCCGATATTTTTTTAATTTATTGACAGATTGTAACTTAAATGTCTGTATACTCTGCAAAAGATATAGCATATATAATACAGAACGAAAATGAATATACGATAAATTACAAGGATTCAATTTTTGTCTTGATAATATAACACAATATCGAAGTATGTAGATAAAATAAGTATGCAAAATCTCAAAATAATCTATACCGACCATATAAATAAAATTTTATGTCTACTACTCGATAAGAGGTCCTCTATCGAATCGTTATTTAGTTATGATTCTGGAAAATATATTTAAATAATTTTTACAAAAGGATGTAGTAGTTTATTGAAATGATATGAAATTAGAATTTAATATAATTTCAAAAAAAATTTATGTCATTTTACTTCCATAATTATGACTCATTTTAATACAAATACAAAAAAAAATACGTATTTACTCATAAATTAAACATTATGACAAAAGACAAAATGACACATTTTGAATATTTACATGAAAATATATTTAAATTGCAAATATTTTTCAATTATTTATCTATTTAGTTATTAACCATTGACTTAATAGTTTCCATAGCAACTCATTTATATTTGATTCAGTTTTCCAAGTGCATAAGTATGCTAACATTAATTGATTACCAATATAATATTTTTCTGTTGTTTTATAAACGAGGAAAAAAAAACTATTTGAATTTATTTTCTTTATATGATTCATATGATTATTTTTTTTTTTTTAATATTTTAATAAGATGAAGAACATATATATCCATTTAAATGAAATTGATGAGAAGAATAAAGACGAAGAAGAAGAAAAAATCGAGGGATGGAGAAATTCGTCGTTTATTCGTTCATCATCCATCTATCTTACCCATTCTCCCTCTCATCGCATTTAGTCAGTCATCTCTTTTTCTTTTTTCTTTTGCTTTCGTTGGTAAACAGTTGACAAATAAAGCTAAAGAAAAGAGACTAATAGCATATATATAGAGATATATCTATATACATATACATATATATCTGTTTACCTCGTTGGACTATTATTCTAGTCGATTTCGAGTGTTCGTCCGTTATGATTTCTTCTTTATTTTTTCCATGCATAAAGATATTCACATAAGAAAATATAACATTTAAAATTTATATTTAACCATTTTTTTGATATTCTTTATTTTTAAATTTCTATTTAGAACGACTATATATAAAAACAGTTAATAATGACTAATAGTGATGATTTAACTGTAGCAACAACAACAACAACAACAACATCAAATACAACTATGAATACTAATACAAAATCATTTGTTGATGATCTAAATTGGAAAGAAAAATTAAAATTACCACCAAAAGATAATCGACCAAAAACATCGGATGTTACTAATACAAAAGGACATAGTTTTGAAGATTATTGTCTTAAACGTGAATTACTTATGGGTAAATATCGATAGATAATTTTTCTATTATATAAAACAAATTCTTATTTTAGGTATTTATGAAAAAGGTTGGGAAAAACCATCACCCGTACAAGAACAATCTATTCCAATAGCATTAACTGGTCGTGATGTTCTTGCACGTGCAAAAAATGGTACAGGAAAAACAGGTGCATATACAATACCAATTATTGAACGTATTGATCCAAATAAAAATATTGTTCAAGCAGTTATATTAGTTCCAACACGTGAATTAGCATTACAAACAAGTGCTATATGTATGGAACTTTCTAAACATATTCAATTACGTGTTATGGTTACAACTGGTGGTACATCATTGCGTGAAGATATATCACGTTTACAAGAAATTGTTCATATTATTATAGCAACACCTGGTCGTTTATTAGATTTAGTTAATAAAAATTTAGCTAAAATTGATTCATGTCGTGTTATTGTATTGGATGAAGCTGATAAATTACTTTCACAAGATTATAATCATTTATTAGATGAATTATTATATACAATGCCAAATGATCGACAAGTAATGCTTTTTTCAGCAACATTTCCTTTAATTGTTGATGATTTTATTAAAAAACATATGAAACAACCATATGAAATTAATTTAATGGAAGAATTAACACTTAAAGGTAAGTAGAAAAATAATAATTTTCCTGATTTTTTTTCTTTTGATTTATTTACTATTAGGTATTACTCAATATTATGCATTTGTACAAGAACGACAAAAAATTCATTGTTTAAATACACTTTTTTCAAAAGTATGAAAAAAAACAAAAAATTCCGGAAAAATAATTTTTATTTTTTTTTTCAGTTACAAATTAATCAATCGATTATATTTTGTAATTCAACACAACGTGTTGAACTTTTAGCTAAAAAAATAACTGAATTAGGTTATTCATGTTATTATATACATTCAAAAATGCGACAAGAACATCGTAATCGTGTATTTCATGATTTTCGTACTGGTCTTTGTCGTAATCTTGTTTGTTCGGATTTATTTACTCGTGGTATTGATATTCAAGCTGTTAATGTTGTAATTAATTTTGATTTTCCACGTTACAGTGAAACATATCTGTAAGTAAAATCTACATTTTATAAATGAAAAAAAAAAATTTTCGTTTTTTTTTTTTTTTGTTTAGTCATCGTATTGGTCGTTCAGGTCGTTATGGTCATTTAGGTCTTGCAATAAGTTTAATAACATATGATGATCGATTTACTGTACACAAAATTGAACAAGAATTAGGTACAGAAATTTTACCTATACCACGTCATATTGATGAAAATTTATATGTGGCTAAAGTATCAACTATTGAACAATCAATTGATGAACAACAAACAGATAAATGAACAATCAATCAGATTTTTTTTTTGTTTTCTTGCTATATGTGTGTTTTACTAGTCAAACTAACAAAAAAAAAACAATATATAAGTCATATAAGATCAGATATGATGTATGCTAAATTTTTATCGTTTGTTTTTTTTTCTCCTTGTTTCTTTTTGCATATCATTGTGATCATAACATTTTTCTTTTATTATATGGATGATGGATTAAAAAAACATAAACAAAAAAGAGTAAAATAAGAAAACGTTTAGATATTCTAATTGTTTTATTATTTTTGTTTTTTTTTTTATATTAAAAACACAATGATCTTTTTTTCTTTAGATAAAACGAAAAACAAAAAGATTTCATTCAATTATAATTTTATCGCTATATATATATATATATATTTATTTCAAACTTGAATTATTTGTTCATTAATATTTTAATACAAATATTCGTTTGATATTGTACATATATTTCATTCCTTTTATTTCCCTCCGTTATTTGTTTCTGTTAATTTTTATTTACTACCATTCAATTATGATTGGTGGTTCATCCACGGGAGGCAAAGCCTCACCTTCTTTACCATTTTCTACATCAAATTTTCCTGGAAATTTAATTACAAAAATCGATGGTAATGATAAGAATACAATCAATAATGGAAATATATCAACAAATATAATTAATAAAGATGATCCTGATTGGAAATCAAAATTAAATATTCCAGAAAAAGATCGTCGTGCTAGAACAAGTGATGTAACAAATACAAGTGGTCATGATTTTGAAGATTATTGTCTTAAACGAGAATTACTTATGGGTATAACATTTTATAAACAAAATTCTTCTCTTTATAACTATAAAAAAAATTTTTTTTAGGTATTTATGAAAAAGGTTGGGAAAAACCATCACCTATTCAAGAACATTCAATTCCAATAGCATTAACTGGTCGTGATGTTCTTGCACGTGCAAAAAATGGTACAGGAAAAACAGGTGCATATACAATACCAATTGTTGAACGTATTGATCCAAATAAAAATTGTATTCAAGCAGTTATATTAGTTCCAACACGTGAATTAGCATTACAAACAAGTGCTATATGTATGGAATTATCAAAACATATTCATTTACGTGTTATGGTTATGACTGGTGGTACATCATTACGTGAAGATATATCACGTTTACAAGAAATTGTTCATATTATTATAGCAACACCTGGTCGTTTATTAGATTTAGTTAAAAAAGATCTAGCTAAAATTGATGCATGTCGTGTTATTGTATTGGATGAAGCTGATAAATTACTTTCACAAGATTTTAATCATTTATTAGATGATGTTATTTTTCATTTACCACAAGATCGACAAATAATGTTATATTCGGCTACATTCCCATTGACTGTTGATGATTTTATTAAAAAACATATGAGAAATCCATATGAAATTAATCTCATGGAAGAACTTACTCTTAAAGGTATTTAATCATTTTTCTCAAAAAAAAAAAACAATTTTTTCATATGTAAAAACACTTATGATCAAATTTATCATCTAGGCAAAAATGACAACATTGAAGTGACATACTGAATCCTAATAATATTTTCTCTCGTAAAACAAAATTGATAATAATTTGAGCTTTAAAGGAAAATTCTACGACATAATTAGGATTGAAGACAGATAGAAGAAGCTAAGTTACGATAGGTAATATTCTGAAGATGAAAACAACGTTTGTCGAATTTTTGACATTTTCCATTTTTGGAACATATGGACATAATACTTGATTGTTTAGTCATTGAATATGAATACATTTTCATTTCTTTTGTTTTTTCAAGGTATTACTCAGTACTATGCATTTGTACAAGAACGTCAAAAGGTCCATTGTTTAAATACATTATTTTCAAAAGTAAAAAAAAAAAGAAACAAAAATTTTTCTGAATAACAAAATTTTTTTGTTTTATAAAAATTTAGTTACAAATAAATCAATCAATTATTTTTTGTAATTCAACACAACGTGTTGAACTTTTAGCAAAGAAAATTACTGATCTTGGTTATTCATGTTATTATATACATTCAAAAATGCGACAAGATCATCGTAATCGTGTATTTCATGATTTTCGTACTGGTCTTTGTCGTAATCTTGTTTGTTCGGATTTATTTACTCGTGGTATTGATATTCAAGCTGTTAATGTTGTGATTAATTTTGATTTTCCAAAACTAAGCGAAACATATTTGTAAGTGTCAAATAAAACACAAATATTTATTTCAAAACGCAAAAAAAAAAATTAATTTTTAAATTTTTAATATAGACATCGTATTGGTCGTTCAGGTCGTTATGGTCATTATGGTATTGCAATAAGTCTCATAACATATGAAGATCGTTTTTCACTACATAAAATTGAACAAGAATTAGGTACAGAAATTCAACCAATACCAAAACAAATTGATCCGTCACTTTATGTTGCTGAATATCAAATGAGTGGAGAAAATATTAGTGAAAAACAACATGAAAATAGTGCTAGTGCATCAGCAAATAAAAACTCATAAATATAAAAAAAACAACAACAAAGAACATAGTCGATGTTGTACAGTTTTTCTTTTTTTTCCCTTTTTGAATTTTTTTTCCGGTGCAAAAATTGCATCCGTCATTGCCATTGAAAAACAACTATAAGAAACTTTTTTGGCTAAAACTTCGGTTTTTTTTTTCTTCTTTTTCTTCTTCTCTTTAACTTCAAATCTTTTATTTCGTTGGTTCTTTTTCTCCGTTGTCTTGTGTCTTGTTTATTTGTTCTTTATGTGAGGTTTTTCTTCATGATTTGTTTGTTTTCTTTCTCCCCCCCTCCTCTTTCTTTTTCTCACAGCTGATATTCGACATTGGCGTAGATTTGTGAGATAATCATCATTTTTCTTCGTACAAAACAAAACAAATGATTGTGTTGTAATTTTTTTTTTCGGTTTTCTCTTTTGTTTCTCATCTTTCTTTTTTTTGTTTTGTTCTTCTTCATTTTTTTTCGCCGTTTTTCTGCACTATTTTTCATTGCGATCTCATCTTTATTAACCGAAAGAAAAAAAAACAATAGTTTTGTGTTATGGTTAAATCTTTCGGTAAGATTTCATTTCTTTTTTTTTTGTTTTTTCGTTTTACACATTACTCTTTCATTCATTCTATGTCCTGTATGTGTTTATGTTCTAAGTCTTTATTGTCTTTTGTGTTCTATGTATGTTTTCTTTGCACGCAAATTAATATATATTATGTGTGTGTACCGGATGAGAAAAAAATCATGTATTTAAATACGTTTTTTTTTGTTCCCGCTATTTGCTTATGAAACGTAAAACAAAAAGAAGGAAGTTTTTTTTTTCATTGCGTGCATGTGTTTTTAACTCTATATTATCTATAAGACACACACACATATAGATATAGATATATATGTATGTATTTTCTCTTTCTCTCTCTCTGTTTTTGATACTTTAATGTGTATGTTTATGAATATTGTATGGTTTTTTGATGTTTGATATGAGAGACGAGTGTTTGACAACTATTATATGAGAAAATGTTTTAAATTGTGCCATCGAAAAAAAAAAAAACAAAAAGTCACACATGAAAAAATAATAATGAAAATATGAATTGAAACAACAATAAATATATGAACATCCATCTTGCAGATGATAACATCATAAATTAATATTTTCTTTTGTTTTTTTTTTGTCGTTTTGGTTGATGATTTTTTATTCTTTACCTTTTAGAACATGACTGCTAAACCATTGTTTAATATTAGTATGTAATTAATTGTATTCATTTGAGTCATATTTATAATTATTCTTAGATGAACCGGTATTTGCCTTGCATCAAGGAAAAACATACAAGGCTAAGGTTGGTATTGATTATTTTTTTTTTTTATTTGAAGAAAACAAGAATAGTAAAGATAATTCTTGTGTTTATAATGTTTTCTTGTTGAATGAAAATATGATAATTTTTATGATGAATAATTATATAAAGAATTTTTAGAAAGTTATTAGATCGAAAAAAAACATTGAATATCTTCATCATATGTTGACCAACAGAATATTAATAGTTTAGTTTCATAAGAAAAAATTTTGTCTAAAATTGTTCTGAAAGTATTAACAACTTCACTTTAATAAAGAATTGTAGCTTTATACAAGCTATGAAATAATATACATATCTTATTCTCTGAGCCAAAAATAAATGACATCTAATTTTTACGATTGATTCTCCACATTAGTATCATATGTATACTATATATATCTTATCATTAAGCATATTCTGACAGTTTTGCCTGTCAACAACAAGAATTTGTTGAGTAAATTGCAATATTCGTCTTTTATAACTTATCGAAGATTACACTTCTATACTAAAGTTAGTTGTAATTACTGTAAAAACAATTTTTGACAACATTACTCTTATGAATATACATTAGTTATGAACACTCCTTTATCAATGGTTAAAATATGACAGAGGTAATTAAAGTTTTCTTTGTCTAGCTACATTTTGAACATTTTATATTAGACATAAGTTTGTAAAACAAGGTTTTGTACTTTGAATATAGTAAAACTACTGAGTAAACTTCATAGAATTTCTCTTTTTCTATGTTCTAATAGTATAAACACAATTCTATATTTCTACAATATTTCATCGTTCTTTTTTCTGATATCAAAATTATGAAATTTTAATAAAATCTATTCACTTCTGTGTTAGATAGTTAAGGAAAATTCTTCTTTTTTTAATATGTATAAAATTTCATATTGAACTTTCTATTGAAATATAAGTTACTCATAATGAACTACAGAGTATTTCAAAAGTTAGACATGAAATGAAACTTTAATAACTCTTAAATGATACACATAAGCTTTGTATCATATCGTAGGATATTTTCGGCAGTTTTATATCATATGACTTTATTCATAGCTAGTGTTTGTATATCTTAAGTAACTTGTTGTTTTCAAAAAAAAAAAAAAAAAAAAAAAACAAATCTTTAAGATAAGTTTAAATGAGATACTTTATCATAAATTGAATTTGAAAC